CTGGATAGGCAGATGGAGGAGTATTATGCAGCCCGGCAGCGTCAGCGATGCAGGGGCTGCACGGCTGCGCGCGCCAACCACAAAGCTGAGGCCCCGGCCGGAGGGCACAAAGCGACGCCTATCTGTTTGCTGGCCGCGGCTGCCCCGGGGGGGCCAGCGGCCGACAAGAAGAGCGGCAACGAAAAACACGAGGCGAGGCGCTGCGCACCACCAGCCGCGGCTGCCCAAGGAGCGCCGGCGGCCAGGGGCGGCCTAGCAAGTGGGCCCGAATGGGGGCCACGGCAAGTGTCGAGGAGGCGGACACGGGTGACCGGGAGCAGTGCCGGGCGGTCTCGACCGAGGGGGACTGGATGCCGCACAGGGCAGTGCCAGACAGTCCCAAGGGAGGTACCGGATGCTCACACTATGGCGCGGGCTACGGCCCCCCAGCGTCATGCCGGAAGGGCCCGCCGCCGACCCTCGCCGAGCTGAACGCAGATTGGCCAGCAGCAACGTGTCTGGCATGGGACATGGCTCCGCGACATGGTTGAGCACCGCCGGGCTGAGCGGCACCACTGGCGTTTGGGGTCGGCGGCTGGGATCCCGCAATTCGGCCAGCGTGGCCTCGTTGCTGTCGGCGAGCGGCTCGGCCGTGAGAGCCCGACTCGCTGCGGAGAGCTCTCCGAGGTGGACGAGCGCTGCAGCCCGCGCCGCGCGACGGTCGGATTCATCCTCTGCGGGCGAGCGTTGGGCAGGCCGCGCGGGAGTGGAGGGGCAGGCTGCACGGAGAAGGGAGGGCCACTCGCCGCGGCGGAAAGCATCCGCGCGGCGCTCGATCTCGGCGGGCTCGATGCGTGACTGGCCGGGCTCGCGGTGCAGGAGCATGCGGGGCGCGAGGAAGAAAAGCTTCCAACCGCGTGCAGCGGCATCCGGCCCAGCGCCGGAGACGGCTTGCTCCAACCCTGTCCGCAGCGCGAAGCGGAGGACGCCGCGGAGCTGGGTTGGAGCGCTTTGGAGCGTGAGTGCCTGTCGGCGCAGCTCAGATGCGAGATCGATGTCGTCGAGCTGCTCAAGGCCGAGGCGCACGCCTGTGGAGGCGGCGCTCACCCGCTGCTCAGCTTGCGTCGGAGCAGCGGCGGCAGCCGCGGCATCGGCAGCGGACGGGGCGGCGACCGGCGCCGGAGACTCTTGGATCCTGCTTCCGCGCCCGGCTCTGCGGCCACGACGCCCTCCACCTCGGCCTAGCCGTTGTTGGGCAGCACCTGGGGCGCGCTCCGAAACAGCGGCAGCGACCTCGTCGTCCTGCGAGCTGAGGCCGTCGTCACCATCAGACGGCCGCGCACCGGGGTCGTCGACGGCAGGACGCGTGGTGGCGGGCACCGGAGGGATCGGTGCTGCGTCGGCTTGGCGAAACGCATCCGAATAGCGGTCGAGGTTCGACGCAAAGCTGAGCCCCCCGTATAACTGCAAACACGCCTCCTGTGCCCCCGCTCCGACCATCCGTACATGGGTGATGGGCCAGGGTCCACTCTCAATGCCACACGCAGTATCGCACGCAATGTTGCATTTGTGGCTCATGTATGCCTTGCCGCTGCGGCGTGTGAGATGTGAGTGCACTTCCTGAGTGGCGTTTTCACACAGTATATATTTGCGTCTGAATGTTAGTAGTGTCTTGACATTGTCATGCTTACTTAACTCATGTCGAAATTGTTGGTTTGATATGGTTGATTCACGTCGCATTCCTTGATGTTTGTGTTTGATCATGTACATATTGTCTCACTTTCAGTTCTTTCTGATCGTGACACACGATCGTTCAAGGACCCGTCTCTCTCTCTCAGATTGGGAGCCTGGAGGAGTGTATGCTGACAAGGCACTGCAATCGAGGCTGATAGTCGAGGCTGATAGACAGCATAGTTGGCCAGCGAAGGTTCCCCGCGCTAACTCGCATGGGCACGTTTCTGTACAACCTGATGCCGAGTCCACTGCCAAACATGTCGAAGACCCGACCCGGGGAACACCCCGTACGATCCCGGAGACCTGATGCCATCCTGATGTTCCCCACATGCGTCCCTCGCCTTCACGACCCCGGCTGCGTGAACACACGTGTGAGGGCTTGCAGAGCTCCGTCCCGAGCACACGTGCACAGCCAGCAACGGGGCAGCTCCGCCTTTTTTGTGCTGAGGAAGGCTACGCGGGACATGAAGTCATATGTGCATCGAACCCGGGGCGGCTCTTCGGTGGGCCCTCCGCAAGTTGGCAAGAGAAGTGCGGTGGGGCTTACGGTTTACGGCAACGGGCGCATCCGGGGTTGCCTCGAGGAGACAGGGGGCGGTAATTAGGCCTGTCGCGTGGGATCGGTGAGTTTTGGCCCAACGTGGCATCGGTTGGTGGTGTAGTGACGCGACATGCAGGAGCGCTTCCTGCACCGTAGCAGGGACACAGCCGTCAGGCCGCGCGACAAGGCGGCTGCCCCACAGTTGACTCACTTCACGAAAATTGTGTCCCACTTCACGAAATGTGTGTCCTTGTCGCGTGACGAATATGTGCAGCTTGTGCAGTCGATGATTGGCTGCTGAGCGTTTCGCGCCATTGGCCGTCCCACTTTGTGCATTCAAGGTCCGACATCGTGGGGTCTATGGTTGTGCGTTTGTGATCCTGCCGCTTCCAGTGTCACGTGTGGCTGTGTGAGATGCGGCGTTGTGTATCACGTTGCAAAGCTGACATTCTTCTGTCAGATTGTTCGGAAAACGTTATTTCCGTTCCGTTGTTTGACGGCCTGGTGCTGAATTTTCCACGCCATTGCGTGTCACCTTTGGGACTCACTGTTCAAAAGTCTTGTGCCCGATACTGCATTGCCGGCGCCATCGTCTGCGCTAGATGCAGCTGCCAATCTTGAGCATGGTGGAATGAGTAACATAATAGTGGTGATGGCAAAATGCTTTGGCTAGCGGAGATTGCAAATGGCGAATCGTTGTCATTGCCTGAGCCTGTGCCGGTGGCGCCTGATTTGCCAACGATGTCGCGTTTTGGCAATCCCACATGCAACAACACATTCTTAACATTTCAGCAAGCTTCCCGTGGTAAGTGAGTTAGGTTGGGCCACCTGTCGCCACGAAGTCTTGAAAAGAGGAAAAGGGAAGATGCGTGTGCAACTGGCAATATAACATGTGAAGCAAACCCGGATGGCTTTGCGCTCGACGATGAGGTTCGCCTTAAGCCTTCAGCTTCATCGCCTTCATGGTATGGTGGAGAGGGCATGGGTCCGCGTCGCAGGCCGTCGGCCCAAAAAGCCAGCCTGGCGTTCCTCCTGGCGAACGCCGGCGCCTGGACCTCGTCATGTCCGGGCCCCGCTTGGGCTGCGACGTCGCCATTGGGTAACGATGCGTGGACTGCAGCATGCCTGAACGCGCAGGACGTGTTCAACGTGTTGCTATTTGCAAGGCCCAACATCCGCGTCCCAACACGTTGGGCCCAGAGGCCTTGCATGGCATAACGAAGTGTACCGCCCTGCCCCTGACGGACTTGGAGCGATATGCGCCACTCATGCTTACAGCTGCCCTGGCACCTGCCCGCGCATCGGCCGACGTGGGCCAAATGGAACGCAGCTGGGAGCGGAGGCCGCTCAGTCGCGGCCCTCCACTCCTTGTGGCACAAGGCAGGCGACGCTTTGCCAGGTAGGGATCACCGGTGCTGTACGTCATAAGCCTGGAAGCACGCAGTGGCACCGCGCCCCGGACTGGTCGCACATCTGCAATTTCAAGCAGCACGGATTTCACGTGACATCCAGCACTGGAGCGCCCCTTCCTTCGCCCCGGGCCTGCTGTCATGATCATTCATTGCGCGCTCGCCATCTCGAACCTCGCGCGAATAGCGGACCGGCTGCTCGTGGTGTCGAGGGCCATCTGGGCGGGGCCGGGACTGGAACTGACTTACAAGTTGTCGAGGTAGGTCGACATGCTCGATTTGTCGTCATGTTATACTCTGGAACTTGAATACTACAGTCCTGCATCGGCATGCATTGGCTGCATGTGACGGTTTTGGGCAGCTTTCCCACGCTGTTGCCTGTGCATGTGGCGGCAACGTAGGGCCTTCCCTGCAACGTCTTTTGTCATTGCTGCCGTGAACTGGCACCACGCCGGCAGGATCGTCGGGAAAAGAGTAAGAAACAAGCAGCAAGATGGTCATGACATGTCATCGGCTAGTTCACCTCAGACTTTCCAGGAGGTGTGGGGACCATTACCACTGCTGATCTCGCCATACTGCTTTGGACGTGACACACACACACACACACACACTCTCACTCTCTTTCTCTCTCCACATGCACGCACACCAAGAGAGCGAGAGAGAGAGAGAGAGAGAGAGAAAGGGAAAGAAAACTGATGTACGGACTCGCAGGCAGACCAACAGAACAGAGAGAGACAGAGAGGGAGATGTCGGGGTTAGAAGCAAAGAAACCACGCAGAGCAAGGAGGTGCTGGAGATGCATCTGACCTTGTTTTCGCCACTGATGCTCAAGGCTGCTTGGGTTCAAGCGATGAGAGTAGGTTTGTGATTCGCTGTGATACTGCGGCCATCGGCTCATTTGTGCACTTCGGTGCTGCGCACATCAGCCTTGCAAGGTCCACAAGGTCGCGGAGGGTCAGACAGCGCCCAGGGACATCTCGGTGAACTCCTCCTTGGAAGTGCACCCCAAGTACTTTGGGTACTTCTCAGTGTCCAGACCCAGAGTCGCGCATACCAGCGCCATTCCCCCTACTGGGAAGTCACGATCAAATGTTGCCTGGTAGATGGCCAAGACTGTTGGGTCAACGCCACTTTTCGGGGGTGGCGGCGGAGCAGCGTGCAGCGCACTCTTCGTGGCTTCCAGCTCTTCAGCCGAGGGTGGTGCGGAGGCCATGGCCGGAAACTACGTCACCGGGACCTACACGGATTGAAATGGCTTGGAAACAAGGCTGCTGCGCAAGGCTGCTGCGCAAGGTTGCTGCGACTCTAACCCGTTTACGGGACAGATGCGCGGCACTTCAAAACCAAAGCAACGGTGTTTTACCCAGCCACACAGTTGGATGGAGCGTCTGCTCGTCGGATACATCAGGAGATGAAGAAGCTCGCTGCTTCAACGCTTGGCAAAGCCGCAGTCCCTCTTGGCGAAAGTGTTCTGCCTGAATGGGATCCTGTCAAGCTTCAAACGAGGCTTTAAACGTTCAACCGTGTCGCAGCCACGTGCGGCCACGGCATGTGACTTCAGTCCTGGAAGATTCCCAGCTCTCCCTTGAGGTAGATTTCCTACCAGCGTGAGTGAACTGAGTGAACTGAGCGATCATGAAGCTGCCAAGAAAAAATCAGTAGCACAGCTCCGGTGCCGAGCCACGGCCAGGTGCATCGAGGCCAAGGGATGCCCCTTCTCCTTGGCCCTCTTGAACCACATCACCGCGCCGCGGTCTTCACCTCTGCGTTGTGGGGTTTTGGGCTATCATCACCAGCACGGACACTTCGACTCACATCTATGGAATCTATATATATATATATATATATATATATATATTCACATCTACATCTATCTATACATATAGAAAAGATATATTCACATCTCCTCACTACTCGCACCCGCGTTCTGCAACGAGCCACGCTCCCGTAGAAACAAGGCGAAGTCCAGCATGGCCTCTGCGAACATTTGAACACCACGGGTACAAAGCCATGGGGTGCCATGGGTAGCTCCAGGCCTGCAAACTGCGCTTGTTTGCCTCCACAAAGAGTCCTTGGCAACTTGGTCTCTTGTCACTCTCATGCTTTCCTCAATTCTGTGTATCGGCGCGAGGCTGCTTCAGCGATGCGAGTTGCGGTTACGCTGTTACGCTGTTACGCTCATCGCTCATGCCGACTCATGCCGACTCATGCCGCCTTGTACACTTTACGCGCTTCTCTCATCAAAAGATCTTGAGCCAGCACGCGCTGGTACACTTCGTCTTTGTCATGCGCGAGAGGGACTCCACCGTCAAAGTCGGCCAGTCGGTACTCACCCACCAGCTCGTCTCCTTACTCTCGCAGGGGTTTTCAGAAAGCCATGTTCCCTTGGCCCTGACAGGTTTCTTGTGATATGCTTCCTTGGGTCGAAGTGAGTGCTCTGCTGGAGTGTTTCCTGGGCGGTGGAAAGTGACCTGACATCCAAACGCTACAGACTGCATCACAGAGCGCACAGCCCGTGGCGAGGTTTTAAAGACAGGCTACATATAGTAGTCGTCGCCGTCCTCCACCTCGCTCTACGGGTGCCTGGCCGCCCCCGCAATGCAGCAGCCTGAGCTTGCTGCGGCAAAGAGGTACAAAATGGCAAAAACAAACTCAACGCAAGCTGAGCTGCTGAGAATTCATGAGGATGGCAGAGCCAATTGTACACTCTGCAGAACTGCCCCCAAACCTGAAAAGCACAAGGCAACCGACACGGAGGCCGACTACTGAGTGACTACTGCGTGTATACTGTCTGACAGTTCCAGCAAAGTCCATGCGCGGAAGCACGGCAATAGCATGGCTCCCGCTATGCTCTACCAGGAAGCTGCTCCAGCAAATCTCCAGATGATCCATCAGATCTTGCTCGCAGCGCCATCAACCGAAGGTGACCTTCAGGGCGCCATACAGCCCGAGCACCCAAGAGCGCACTGCGTGCAACATGGACAGCATGCCGCTTCTGGCAATGGCGATTGCTTCCCATGGCGCCAAGTGGCTCTCTGCTGTGTGCGAACGAGGGCAGAGCCACGTTGGGCCCATGGCACTGGTGATATCTTGCAGAGCCACGAACCTTAGCAAGCGACTCACAACAAAAGAAAGCTTGAAGGCTTGAGACTTCCAAAGTCCGCATGCAGTCAGGCGGCACCGTAAATAGCGGCAAAAGCCCACTATCGATTATCTTCCTCGGCTTCAGCATGTGTCACCTGTTCATGGACCTCTTGGCCAAGAGCAGCTCATAGCAGCTCTTAAGATTTACATCCTACAGCGATTCCTCCTACGGACCCTCCTAGGGGGACCCGCCCCTCGGGACCTTCCATGGACTGGGGGACATCCTGCGACCTGTTAGGGGGTTCAGTGGATGCAGGCACCTGCCAGACCTGAGGCTCAAAGAGGGGCCCCACAATTACTGTTCTGTTCACAGGTATTCTTGCAATGATGATAATTGGTACCTTCAGTATCGAGAAACACCGAAAAGTGCCTTCGTCGAAGCGCGTGTCGGCATGCAGTGGCTGCTGCTCTGCGCCAGCGTCGGTGATCATGCAGGACAGGTCCACCAGCGCTGCACGGCCTCCGGGTGTTTCTCCTCTCTTTCTGATTCGAGGTCTGCATTCTTCTTCTTGCTACTACCAAGAACTCGTCTCACTGAAAGTGTCTGAGTGTGACAGCCAGGAAGTGATGTGTCATGATGCGTCTATCTTGGGGCCGCTGCGGGAGAGGAAGGCTGCGAGGATCGGAGACACCAATGCACAGAGTGGCTCCAGGACTTCGCAGACCTCATCTCATCCCACCCTTTTAGGGTTCAGGGTTTAGGGTTTGGGCTTTGGGGTTTGGGATTTGGGGTTTAGGGCTCACCCCGGCCCCGAGAGAAGCCCCGTCTTCTGCCTCTGGCACCATGGGGAGAGTAAGCTCGATCCGATCCTGCAACGCGGTCGGAAACATACTGCAAGCAAAGCTACTGCACAGTACCCACAAGAGTGCAGCATCATGCAACCACAGTAGCCACTGAACAGAGCCAGATCCTGTCTTTCTCCATGTACCAGCTTTCGAAAGTACCTCTTGTGTTGCGCACGGCTACATGCCACAACAAGCAGTACCACCACAGCTTCGCGGGTCACTGCTTGATGAGGCCAGATCTGGTCTTTGCATCGCAGGCCTCGCGTGGCTAATCGACCAGCATTCAGAGGTCAGATTCGTAATGCATGCGACCTCACTCACTTCGTGCTGCGCAGATGCCAGGGCATGGTCAACCTCAAGGATCTCACATCCCAAAGCCAGGAAAGTCCAGACGCGGTCCCATCACAGGCCAGGCACCCAGTTCACCCCAAACCCCTGGCCGCGCAGCCCAGGCGCAAATTCCGCCAATCTTTGGCAGGCAGGTGCCGAAACCGCACTGCGAATTAGAAGACAGCCCTGGCAGTCAAGAGATACATAGACATACCGCTCCACACAAGTCGAGGCTTTTGCATCCGCAGCCTCTTTGTCCAATGTTTGGATGGCATCTGCCGGGTCACACGTCACGTCGTCTGCACAGACCCAAGGCAGTGGTGCCGCTTCGCCTGGCACCTGCAGAGGCAAAGTAGACATTCGAGGCAGTCTTCCATCTGGAGACACGTCAGTCAGTATGATAGACATCGAATGACAAAGAGTGTTGACACCGAGCCTCGTGGAGGATTCTGCCGGCGTTGCTCTTGTCTTGCACCGTCGTCTGTATTCCTTTTCTCGAGCAGGCAACTCGTCGGGCAACTGCGAGGAATCTGATGTCTTTCGACCCTCAGGCTTGGTCCTGGAGCGCCCCAGACATTAAACGAAAGATCGGACCAGCCTCACTCAGTTCCGACAAGCTATGTTAAAGGTATTACAATTATTACAAGTCATGTCAGCACATGCGCACGCGCGCTCACACTCACACGCACACACACACACACACACACACACACACACAGAAATAGAGTTGCTGAGCCCGGAACTCCCGAAAGGCCATCCACGTCTGCGAGACTTTTCACTGGCTCCTCCACCCCAACAGACTTGCAAGGAATCCTGACGGCTTCACATCAGTCTTCTTTGGGATGATGTGCCTGGGCAGTCGAGGAAGTCCGCAGTGGTGGGACCTCCCCAGGAGCATGCCCCTGATCTGTCAGATTCTTTAGTAGGATCAGGTGCGACCCTTCCGACACCTGATCCCGCTGCCATTGCTTCATGGCATTTCATTGAAATAATTCACTTCATGCTGCAGAAACAAACCACTCCCAACTTGCTGAGGCATACTAAGAGCTGCTTAAGTTGGATCTCTTCTGTGGCTATTCCTGCAATGGTTGATGAAGGGATTCGAAGTGGCACTCTACAGGCAGAGACTATCCGTTGAAGTTCGGATCTGGGCCAGTCATTGGACAGCATCGCTTTTGTAGGATTTGCACAGCTGCCTTCAGGCGAGCCCCTGGGCAGTGAAAACTTGGCACTACCCTGTCGTTCGTCATTTTGACTCCACGCATCTTGCTATGCTTGACTTGTCCACGGGCTGCCCCCACGGCCTGTCAAGAATCAGAAATGGGCGATTGAATATTCTCGGTACCCTGCAGACTCTACGGAATGACCGGCAAGTTGCCTCTTTTGCGACATTGCGCGCGGGATTCCAAGGCTCGCCAACAGCCGGTGCTTTGCCCTACTGCCTCTCCAATGTCCTAAGCCCAGGCCGCTTTGCATCCTATTCCATCTCTGCCTTGGTTTGAGAAGGGAACAGAAAGGACTTCAAAGGGACTTCTTGGGACATGCTCTTTCCAGCGTCTTATCTCTCCTCGGCCTCCAGCTCTTCAACGTCATCCGAGATACAGCGGGTGCAGCGGGTGCAGGTGCAGAGGAACCCGTAGTCTTGTTGCAGCAGCTTTCGACGTTCACTTTGCTTCAGGTCTGGGAGCTCCCGGATGTAATCGATCGTCAGCTCCTCCCCTTTCTTCACACGCTGCTTCGTGCGCAGCGACAGGGTGGGTGCGTGCTTCGCTTCCCCAACAGCATCGACTTGCCACTCAGCGTTCGGCTGGCAACTGTGGTTCAGTCTTGATGCCTTCACGAAAATCGCCTGTGAGCCAAAGTAAAACAGCCGATAGCACACAGGGCCAACAATGGCGAAGAATAGCACGCCTGCAGCAAGCACTGACTTGACGTACTGCGCCTGGAAGCGGTACGCGTACGCGCAGCCGGTGATGGCGCTGAGCAGTGCCGGGCAGACAACAACATGGAGTATCTGGTTGCGCTGGTCATCGAGGGAGTCGCAATAGTGAAACCCACAGTTATCCCAGATCTGCAGGTGCTGCTGGGAAGTTAAGGGGGTTGGTGAGGCAGGGCTGGGACTGGCCTCTGGGGTCCTGCCTCTGTTCCTCAGCTGGCCTCCACTCTCTGTGCTCTCACCGTGTCTCTCACCGTGTCTCTCCGTGTGAGGCTCCTCACAAACTGGATAAAGAGACCTGTATTGGGACTTCTCTTCTGACAGCAGGGCTTCGTACTTGTGTTCCACCTTGTCCCGGCGAAAAACAATGACGCCAGTCAGGATCATCCATGTCTTCACGAACACGAGCGCTGGCTCCTCAAACAAGAGGATTCCCGGCTGGAAGTCCCTCTTCGCGATGACAGCGCGACCACGACCTTCGACCTCCCGAAACTCAATGCCATTTGCGTCCATTAGCAAGTCTAGGGATGTCTAGAGTCGAGATGTGCAAATGGGCAATGCGTGTGAGTACACCGGGTAAGGCAGCTTCTTCCTCTAGCATCCGTCAAAGCCGTGAAGAGAACAAGCCTGGAGCTCTTTTTGCTGCTAGGCTGCACCTATGCTTAGTTTAGGCTTCTCGAGTTTCGCATGGAAACTTCTATGTCGCAAAGGACTCTCGTGAGCCAAAGGGCCGCGCAGACCAGTCCAGGAGGGAGGATGCCAGGGAGTATCTCTGGCCTTGATGGCATGGAAACAGTACATCGCCCTAAAGACGGAGAACTCGAGTCATGGGCTGAAAACGGACAAAACCTGTGGAAGTTGAAGCTTGCTAGTCGAGCCCTTGAGTACACACGCCTAGCGGCTTGGCGGTTGAGGCCGGGAGAGCATGGGCCTAGGTGCCGAGCTGAGGACGTGTCTCGGGACGCCGGAGGCTCGAGCGACTTCGGGACCGTTAGGGTATGGAGTTGGACCATCAACATTTTGTCCGTGTCAATAGCGAATCTATCGTACGTGTGCGAACGATTGCGGATGCTCTTGCCTAACGATGACTACGTCCGTGCTACTAGCTATAAAGCCAGCGCATGCATAGCTGAACGATGATAACATCCGTGCTGCCACGGTGAACCCACGCCGCCAGCGCGACATGCCCGAACGATGATTTTGAGTCCGTGCTACCAGCGAATCCATCGTAAGTGCGAATACATGGCCGAACAATGATTGCATCCGTGCTGCCAACGCATGCGTCCTTTTTGCAGGGAGCCATTACAAGTGGCTAGCAAACTTGGGTTTTCCATACATTTTGTTCAAAACACTCAACCAGCAGAAAAACAGCTATGCTCTCGACAAACTCTGCCCTGTTTGGTCTTTGTTCTTCCTGTTCCCGCGTGCAAGCCAAGGTTTCACGCACTGTTCCACTTCAAAGCGCCATATGCAATGCCCGTGAGTTGGCGTCATGCCTTGTTTCTGGCTTTGAGCGTGTGACGAGTCGAGCGCCAAAGGCAGCCAAAGCAAGCCCTGGGAGCGTTGAGCATTGGCTTCAGAAGCGCACGGAGCACGGCTAGCACTCTCACTCGGGGAGTCCGGAGAAAAGCGCCAGCCTCGAGGATGAAGGTGGTGTCCTGAAATCCATTCTAAGGCCAAGGTTCAAGGCTTGGGAGCTTTACCGCGCAACTTAACCTTTTCAGGTGCGAATCTTCACGTATGCTGCCATAAGCTTCGCCCATGCACCCCAGAACCATGGCTGACCATCGCTGACCCAATCAAGCCACCCGCAAAGCCAGTTGCAACTAAGTCACCAGTGCCAGCTGCGTCGAGACAAACTCCAGACTGCAAAAGGTCGAACGGACAGGCTCAGGGTTTGGGGTTTCGGGTTTGGGTTCAATATGCTTGATTTAGGGAAGTTGGGGGCCCCCCTGGAACCAACCGCGCCCTCTCAACACAGGACCACGAAGCCAAAACCCTAAGCTCTGGTGTTGGCCTTGGCGATTCTTGGAGCTGTCTGTGAAGGCACCGACACGACAGCTCAGCTTCATTCTCTATACGGGGTCTAAGGTTTAGGGTTTAGGGTTTGGGGTTTAGGGTTTAGGGTTTAGGGCTCGGTAAACAAGGCCCCAAGCAACCATCAGGCCCTCGCCGTGTTGCCGAGTCTGCTCTTTGGTATCTTACGGCAAAAAGCAACCGCTTCACGAGTCATGCTTCTGCTGCATTGCCCGCAGTGATGCAGAATTGAGGAAGGTCCCGAGACCGAGTCGAGATGGGAAGATGTTGGGCGTGAGAGATGTTGAAACTTTAGAGCCGATGCAAAGTGCGAAAAAGTAAATCTCTACAAAGCCGGCACAAGCGCCACAACACAATCTAAACTCCCAGATGCTCGCGGCTGCCAAGCCACGCAGTGGCATCGCCACGGAGAGCTGCAAGGGCTATGGCTCTGTCGCCACGCAGCTCCTTCGTCTTAGGAAAGCATTTACCCCTTAAACTAGTATTTTCACCTCTGGGCTCCAATCAATGTTGCAGAGGTTCACACTATGACATCAACGACCCTGATGTGTGGGGTGTAAGACGACGAAGGGGCGATGTATGCAGCGTCCGAGACTCTAAGCTCCAGCATTCCCGGTCCTCGCTTGCGTGGCTCAAAGCGCGGCCTGCCTGGATGACTGCAGATAGCATGACCTCACGGCGCGCGAAATTCCAGCAAAGGACGACGGTCAACACAGCTGCCCCTTCTGTTCTGCTACACTGACCCTGGAATTGACCGCCAAAACCAGGAAAAAGTATTCGAGGTCCTGGCCTCACGCTCCATGCACAGCTCCTGTGGAGCAACATCCAGCACCCTCCAATCGCAGTCCACGGCAACCCGCCAGGCCGCAAAGTCCATGGCATACCTTTGCATTCTATTGGCAGGCTCCGAAATACGATAGGAAGTTGCACTTGCGCCATACACCAGTCAAGGCTGCAACAGGCTACATCTGGGGTTGACAGGTAGGCCCACACTTAGTGTGGGATCATATATGATCACATGGAAACCGTCGAAAAACTCCGCTCAGCTCCTGAAGTTGTGCCGCTTGGAGACATTGCTGGCCCCATTGTGCCAGAAAAACCAGCTGCACGCACATCACAAGAGCGACAGTCGCTGACTGCTGTGCTACTACAGCCTACGTGCAGAACATTGCATCAAGCTCACTATGCAAAAACGAGTGCTCCACTAAGCTTGGGGTGGGGTCGGGCTAGTGATGGCTGACAGGGCGTCATTGCCGCGGCAGTGGTCCATGCATGAAAGGAACTGTTGGTTGCAAGTGGACAGCACATGACAATCACTTTGCACCTACTGAGGATGTTTGAGTGACCAGGAACGCAGCGGTGTCGCAAACTGATTCAACCAAGGTTTCACGGTCCAGATCCCTCACGGCCCTGACCAACGTTAGAAGAATTCAGGGAACAAAAGGGTCTGCGAGGCACGTCTTGCAAGGTGGGAGAATCGGGGAACACAGACTTAGCCTTCTGCGTCGCTCGTATGACCAAACTTCGCCACGTAGCCCCTTAGCCCTTGCTCCGCGGCTGCCTCCGCACATGCTCCCCGCCAGGGCGGGCTGCATTGCGAATCCCTCAGCCCATCTCAGTCTTAAAAGTGGCTTAACAGGCCCAATACTTTCTATAACTCGACAGTGAGTTTGGCGGGGCTTCTTTTGCTGGAGCTGGCGTCGGCTTCACTGCCCCTGACATTTCGGAGGCGTGAGGCAAAACGAGAAAGCCAATCCAGATGAAACTGAAACGTCCAGTTTTGGCGGGACGTTCCGGGCGGCAGAGGCCATGGCTTGAACGAGCTGCTCGGATTTCGGCACGGCTCTCTGCAACATCCGATCGAAGTCAGAGGAGCTGGCCATGTGGCTGACAGCGGCCAGGAGCGCAGCGGTCTCTGCATGCTCTGCCGTGGCCGGGTCCTGGCGGGCTCGCGTCCTGGCATCCTGGGCATCGCTTCGCATTCGGTCCAGCAGGGTCGCTGGCTTCGCCTGATTCGCCTCCTCCCCAGCCTCGTCTTGGCCAAGGGCGAGCGTCAGAACGTATCCTGGCAGCTATCGGCTGTAGTCTATGGTACATCTATGCAAGCAGAACCAAACTAAGGAGAAGAAAACGCATCGTATCGTATTGTAGCCTGAAGCCCAAGAGGTCCTTTCGCCGCATTTGGGTCTGGCAAGAAGGACACACCCACGCCGGCTCCCACTTCGGCCAGGCCTGCAAGGGCTTGAAGCAAGAGTTGGCGCTGAAGAGCTGCTATGATATGCCATGATGTGCTTTCTGCATCTAGTGAGTGACGGTGCTTGCTAAGGCCATTTCCTCCTTCTTGGGGTCGAATCGGGCCGGAAGACTCCGAGATGTTTATACCTCCCTCTTGCCTCACCGACCCCCTCCTGTCCTGGCCTGGCATGCTGCTTAATTGCTCAATCCTCTTCACACGCCGTAACAGCACAATCTGACGAAACATGACGAGTACGTCCTTCAAACTCATGTACGTTCGTGCTTGAAGGCATCGAGAATCAATCTCAGGCCCTGTCTCAGCTACCCAGCAACCCCGGCCTTCAAGTTCGACATCCAACTGCACCTTAGAGTTGAGTGGTCTCCTTGTGAAAAAGTGAGTCACTCTTTGTTTCTTCTAACCAGTCTCGCAGAGTGCCAAACCCCTTCGGAATTCTTTGCATCACAACATGGAAGGGCAAGGCATACCTTCCAGCAGGCCGGGACACGTCCACGGAGGCGGAGACTCCCCAGCGAGGTTCGCTCGCCGGCAGGAAGGCAGGGTACTCCTGACACCAGGCGCAAGCAAGCGCGGCTACAGCCGAGATTGCCCAGTCTATCCGTAGATGAGCATGGAACTAGCTGGAATGAACTAGAACTGCCTCAAGGCCCCGGATCGGGTAGCACAGCTAATGGAAGCTGTCAAGCCCTTGACACGATCAACCAAAGCACTTCGACGGCTGCCTGAGCTTCATTGCTACAGAAGCACACGCAGTTCATAACATGACGTGAAAGTTCCTAGACACGAATGGTCCTCCTTGTACTCGAACAGGAGCGAAAAGCCGGTTTCAGGAGCCGCTGCCTCTAGGGCTTGTTGCACAAAGGAGGTGGAACCAAACTCGATGTCCATGACCAGGTTCGGAATGACCGGGTTTCCATCCTTTTCGCCGAAAAGGAGGCCCACGCACACAGAGACGGTGAACGCCACGAACGACCAGTCAAAGCAAGCAACGACTTGCAAGCCAAATGTGTTCGGCTGTTTGTCCTGGGCGGCATTTCTGTTCATGCAATGACACTCCTTTCCTTGGCCTGGGTATGGATCGCCAAAAATAGAGCCGGAGCAACTTGTGCTTCCTGACACAGGCTGCATGTACCACTTGTCACCATATCCAAAACGCACCATGCCGTCGCATTGGCATGTATTCGACAACAGGCAGTCTGGGTTGGTCGGATGGCCCTTTTCTTGACATGCACAGCGAGACCAAGGAATCTCTGAGAAGTCCACGCACTGGCACTCTTTGGCCTGGCCCGAGTAGGGATCACCAAAGACCGAGTTCGAGCACTGTACGCTTCCTGTAACCTCCCTCAGCAGCCATTTGTCAGCGAACCCATATCGCACAATGCCGTTGCAGCTGCATGTAGACGACAAGTCGCAGCCCTTACGTCCAGCGGGATCAAGAACATAAGATGGCAAAGGGTTTTTTCAGGACATAACCTATGCCAGTTCTGGGAAGCTCTTCCGACTTTACCCTACCAACCTTCGCCCCAAAACCGGATGCAATCCTCATACCGCCTATGTAATCCGCCGAGGCCTCGGGCCGTGTGTGTTTGGGGAGCATGAAGCAGGTAACCCGACGCTAATCCCCTCGCCCCCTCCAACACCCACCCCCTAGCCGACATATGAAGCCAACAGAGAGCAGACTGACAAGTTCGACTACCACTCGCTCTCTTGCCCGCCCCACAAAAACGAGGGCAAGAGACCTATGAAAAAAAACACCGACAAAATGCCGAGGTACACTCTCTCTCTCTCTCTCGGAAAGAAAACATGATGGACTCAGGGCAGGTGCTGGATTGGTAGGATGGCCCTTTGCCTCACACGCACAGCGAGGCCATGGAGTGGTCGAGGATTCCGCCTGAAGCGAGGGGCCCTTACGCTTGAACAAAGCAAGCGCATCGTTATTTGTGAACTGACGCAAAGGAGCTCTTACCCTCCGGACTCCGAACGAGCCAAAAAAACCCGGAGCACAAGAGTCGATGCCTAGGAAATGGCAACAAGTCTTGCCATGCAGTTGGAGTGACAAAGACAGGCATACTGCAAATACAAACAGCTAGTCTTCATGAGGGGGCTTTCTTTCAAGGGGATGATCAGGTGCCTATAAAATGCGTGCCCCTATCATATAAGAGGTTGCGGTTGGGTTGGTGAGTGGCTGGCGAGTGGCATGTGAGGCACATGTGAGGGGATGTCTCGGGGAAGAGCAAATGAGAAGCTTGTAAGGTCAAAAAAGGGCTGAGGCTTGGCTATCCTGTGTAAGCATGTTTTTGCGTCGACCCTGTCTTTGAGTAAGCTCTCGTGAGAATTCAACCCGATCCAGGGTTTGTCAGGGCCCCGTTTTTGTGTCAGTCGAACGGGTGCAGCATTCGTCAAGCAAGCTCTCGTCGCTCGAACTCCAAGACCAGGTCCGCAGAAGGCTCGAAGCAGCCAGAGGCCCGTAAGTGGCTCGTGAATGGCTCTATATAGGCTTGCAAGTGGCGCGAAGGCCCATGAGGGGCCCGTAAGTTCGCAAGTGGCCTGAGCGGCATGTAAGCGGCATGTAAGTGGCATGTAAGCGGCACGTAAGTGGCCGTAAGTGGCGCGTAAGTGGTAAGTGGCACGTAAGTGGCACGTAAGCAGCCCGCAAGTTGCCAAGGGTCCCCGTAGGAGGCCCGTGTTGAAGCCCGCACAAACCTGTGCAGGAGACCCATGCAGCATCTGCCAAAAAACACCAGAACTTAGAAGTCAGGCAGCCTGCTCTTACGAAGCCTCTCCCTGAAAAACACCAAAGGTTACGTACTCTCCTTACCCACACGACCTGATCTTACATAGCCTCTCCCTGAAAAACACCTAAACTTACATACTCTCCTTACCCAAGGGACCCGATCTTATATGATAGGGGCACGCTTTTTATAGGCTCCGGATCTTTGCTTGGATTCTTGCTGAACCTCCCTGAAGGTCTATGTAGCAGCTGGTCCTGATTGGAAAGCTCACATCACATTCAACTGCTGAGGTTCCACTTGCACAAAGTGAAGTCGTCGCTCCCCCCACTTATGATATGGTTCTGCGACTGTCTTCGCTGTAGCCCTAAACCCCCAACAATGCTCATCTTGTCCGGGTCTTGTCAAGCAACAGCAGTGCTTGAAGCGGCCAGTGCCAGCTGCCGCTGCTCTCTGACCTGCCTGCCAATCCTAAGCTGACGCTTCGGGTCTCGAACGGACAAAGCACCGCTTTGAACAATTCGGCCAGAGGCCCGTGGGCTACTGCAAGATAAGGAAGCCACGGGCATCATCAAACAGTTTACAACAAGTTTGCGCGTAGGCCACTCTGCCTGCACAGACCACAGCAACTCCACAAAAAACAGAAGAACACTTTTACTTCGATCAGGCCCACCCTCAAGCTAACCAATGTGGGATCAGGTAATTAAGGATGCTTCGCCTCCGGAATCTTTCGGAGGCGGGGGAAAGAGAAGCTTTCTTCGCCCTTCGTCGTGGTACGGGGTTGGGGTTCAAGATCTATTGGTCGCAACACGCGGTTGGCTTCGGCGCTTCAGACTCTATGTTGATGAAAGCTGGATCAGCCCACGACACCCTGCACCTAGCCGTCTTGACAGGGATTTCTTCACAGACCATGACAACTGCAGGTCAAGCTCATTCCCTCCTAGCGTCTGATTGAAATTCAATCCTGAAGAGCTGATGAGACCTTGGATCTGCTCAGCGTGGCAGGAAAGGGCTGAACACAAAGGTCAGGACGGTAAGTCCTCGTGATCAAGAACACCAAACAAAAACAGGAGCGTCAGTGGTTTTCAGAAGAAGAAAAGAAGAGAAGATGAAACGAAGAAGCAAAAGAACATAAAGAAGAAGAAGAAGTGGCTGCTCATATAAACCACGATAACAGCCAACAAAATCTGATAATGGCAAACCGTCGCAGACAAATTCTTCATCTGGAAGTCTCACACCTTCAAATCCTGCGAAGCATCATGCCAAAGATATCCCCTACGCCGTGCATTCCTCGGAGCAGCTCCTGAACCCCTCCACAATTTTAACGAACAACAGTGAGCTACTCCGCACAACTTCGCATAGGCATGGTTACTTTTCACCACCAGTAATATTGTGCGATGTCATAGGAGGTATAGTCGACATCCTTTCAAGCAAGACACCTTGGATCTTTGCGGCAATCGTTTCGAAGTGGCTGATGAGGCTGGCGCCGGTGTTTGTGGCAAATTTGAACACGCCGAGGATGTACTCGATGGGAGTCTGAACCTTCCATGGCAGCGAAAAGGAGCAGTGTAACAAAAATGTGCCTGCCCAGCGGAATGCTGACCTTTTCCTAAGACGCCTGGTAAGGAGAAAAGCCTGCTACTTGAAGAAGTGCTGCCGAAAGGCCACAGTCGGAAGGCAAAAAGAATTGACACGGAAGTCCAGAAAGGGAGTGGGAAAAGAAAAAGCGCCAGTCTTCATCACGCACTCCTTGCAGCGGGGTTGCACTATGGAGTAGCATCTCCAATCCTACCAAGAAACTGCCACCTGCTGTACGACAGCTTGGTGTCGAGCTCCAATCAGCATGTCTAGATGACAATACTTTCGTACTCAATCCTCCAGTAGAATATCTCCCATGTCTGCGAATACTGCATGATGAACGCCTGTGAATCTACAGTCAGGGCAGGGGACTTTCTTGAGAGGAGCTGCCTTCTTGATCGACTACCCCATTCCAGTGCCCCGTCGAGGGCAAGATGGCCCCTATCATGTGCTGTGAGAGTTTTGGGACTTGAACATACTCTAGACTGTAGATGACTTTAGAGCGAGGAGGGCTTAGGACAGAAGTCACTCTTGTTCTTGTAGGCAAAGAGAGATCACCAACCGCCCCACCCCTGTCGGCGGCCCTCCTGGAGGCGATCCACGGCCTCGTTCCAGTTGCTCTGGGCGGCTGAAGGGCTGTTGAACACGTCTCCGAACTTCGAGAAGAAGCCGCAGTCCGTAGGTACCAAATACCAGAATCCCACACCCGACGGCGTGCAGACCTGAGCGCTGCTTCTGGCTTGGGGGGGCGGGGGAGCTGCTAGTCCCCTGTGATGGCTCAGCGACCTACCCCAGCTTGGTTTTCTCGCTCCCTTACATAAACTACCCGTTTCCCGCTTAGAGGTCCACCTGGCCCAGGTCGTGCTTTTGAAACTGGCCGACCACACCGTTAAAGAAGCTTCGTACCTCGCTTGTAGCTGTTGTCCTTGGTGTCGCTGAGATTCTCACACTTGCTGGAGGAACTTGAGACCAAACGGGCGTTCACGAAAAGGGGTCCAGGTTCACGACATGGACCCAGAGAATCAAATCGAAAGCCCAAAATCACTGGACACGATGTAGTATATAACAGGAACGCAAACTTCTCAAGAGCTTCCACTGTGGACTTTCTGCATGTCGGGCTATTGCCGTCCCAGGTTCAGGCCTTGCTTGAGCGTCCCCGTGTTCTTCTTGGCATTAGCCATAAGAACTTTGGCGGAGTCCCCGAACTTCTCGGTACCCCGTGCGATCAAGGAACCTATGCCCGAGTTGGCATTCCTCAGCGCACGATGCTTCCGACAGCACAAGGGAACATGACAAACGCTGTTCGCACAAAAACGGTTGAAACGTACTTGTTTCCAGCGACTATTCCAAATTCAACCAGGCTCTGCATGGTATCGTAGACAACATTCCAAGCCTCATCTAGGCCGCCGGTGACACGATCCTTGCAGGACGACACGCTGTTGCAGCCTGTCTTGGTGATGAACTTGGCATAGCTGCGATACTCGCTCTGCACGGCACTTCCGATCATCTCCTGCCACAAGGCTGTGCAGAGCAAGAAGCTCAAACTACTTTCTCGCTCCCGAAACCACCAAGCTTGTTGCCCTCCTCCCACCCGTCTCCCACCCACGGCACCCTTCGAATCCACAGAATCAAGAGCCTCCAAACAGCTTGCCGCATCCAGCGCAACGTCACATGAGGAAGCAGCTGTGCAACTTTTAGCCTTCTTCCAAAAGTTACCTGGGGCTGGTCAAAGAGAGGGTCCCAATCGGACCCATGCCAGACGAACACCCTAGCAAGGGTCTTTACGACTGCCGAAAGATTCGTTGAAGATCATGGAAACCTCCACTTGAGACCAGCTTTGACTGAGCTTGCATGGCTCTTTTGTGTAGGGCTCCGGCCTATGTATGAACACTTCTGGCATGCATTGACTAAGAGAAGAAGACTGGATTCTCTCGCTTTTAAGCGTCTATCAGAACTACATGGCTGTGTCACGTTGCCTCGAAAATCCCAACTATATTTCAAACCGCAAAGGGAGGGGGGGAAAGGGTCAGGCCCAATAAGGCCTGAAAGCATCGCTTATGAGTCTTCTGCTACATTAAGGTACTCCTCGCCTTGCCAACATACCTCCCCACATTCCCAAAAGGATTTCGGTTGCAGGCTCCAGTTGCATCCTTTGAAGCCGCTCCACCGTCTTCGCCGACCGTACTTGCAACTCCTCAGTAGCACATATGAGTCTGAGATGAACTCCGGCTGAAGACAAAGTCGGCCTTAGGACGGAACCCAATCGAAGTTGAACGAAATTCTCGGGTGGTCTGCACTTTCAACGGAGGCATCTGTAACAGGACAGGTTCAGCCTCCGAATACAGAGATTCCAAGCTTCGGTTTTGGCTACAAGCAATCGTGACAGGGTTTTGAATAAGGATACGTACAACTTGGGATTTCTCAGGCTGTCGAAATGATCTCTGTGTCTGTGTTTGAGGATTCGTTGAAGAGCCAAGACTGTAGATGCTGCGCCAGGGGTGGGATTGGAAAAGTGTAAGCTCAAGCAGTAGCGGGATCAAGCAGGGCTTGTGGGGGTGACGGATGTGCTCCGAGAGTCTTGCCCGTATCCCAGCCGCAGATCGCGCCATCCACCACGCTCTTCACGCCTTGGCCGACTACGCAGTCTACTCGAGCGAACAACGGCGTTGGCGCAAACTGACCTCTCTGAAAAAGCGAGGGTCGGGCCCTGGCAACAGAAATCGCAGCATCTATGTGCATAAAAGACACCACATATGGCTGCGTCGGTCACGCTGCCCCAGCAGGACGACCCGCCGACCCCGCTACGATAGGACAGCAGCGATCGCGCATCGCCTTTGGAAGTTGCCCCATGTTGCGCTTCGTATGAGCGGATGGGAGAAATTTACTAAGCGGTACACCTCAGTCAGCATCAACGGATGGATTAGATCCCATGAACGTGAGTGAAGAGCATTGAAACCCCGTGTGTGAGAGGGTTTGCGGTAATGTACTTGCACAGAGGACCACCTGTACAGGCCTGGACTAAAAGACGTCCCTTCGAATGAGCTCACACTGTCAAAAGGTCTTGCGGGAAAACGGCCTTGTGGCGGATCGGATAAAGGCTCCTGAAGACACGACTGTTGCTTGTTGTAGAGAAGGATGTCACGGATGCTTCCCAAACACAAGAACATGGAGTGCAAGGGTTGAACTGCTTATGCAACTTTGACAACTTATCCGAAGTCTTGTATGTTTGGATGCGGTTCCTTCAACACAGTTGGACCCTTAACAGTCCTCCCACAAGGATGGTACGTCATCGTCTGGGTCTTCCAGCAGGCTCTCGTTGGACTTCAGATGCTCATGATGGGAGGCAACGAAGCGGATCTGCTTCTGGGAATTCTGCCTAGGCGCGCTTGGCACATGATACAGGCAACGTCCTCATCTTTAGCATTCCTCCTTGCTCTCTCTCTCTCTCTCTCCCTTTCCCGCCTGCTGGTGTTGCGTCTTTGTCTTCTTCTTATTCTTCTTTTCTTCATCTCAACGGGCATGGGGAGGGTGCCGTGCCCAAAGCTCGTCTGTGGTCTATCGGTCTATCGGTGCCAGCATTTGGGAATTGCCGTATGGCCCACTGACAAACCTTGGGGTCGACACTGAGCTCGGCTTGCTCAACTGCTCTGGCCATGATCCCCGTCCATGTGGTGTCTGCCTTCCCTTGAGAGCAGTGGCTGATTGGCCCATGCCATGGTGCAGTCGAGGCCTTCAGCGGGGTAGTCGGAGACCTTCGGCGACCCTGGTGAGGACTGCGCATTTGTGCATCCTGCTGCTGTTGGTGCCTTGTGCCTTTATCCCACTCCTGCTTGTGATCTTGCTGTTGGTGCCAGCTCTGCGCCGATCTCCTGATTGTTCTTCCCCGAAGGTGCCATTGTGCTCGCTGAGGCCACCCGCTTGTCATTGTACCCTAGACATTGCAAATTTAGGTTTCGCCCCTCAGTGCTCCCATGTTCGTTTTGCCTTTGCCAACACAGCTCGCTTGTGCCTGGGTTGCCCAATCGCTGGATTGACCTGACCGGCTGGTAACCCATTATCAGTGCATTCCCTGCCTTCCCTCCCTTCCCTCCCTTCCCTCCTTCCCTCCCTTCCCTCCCTTCCCTCCCTTCCCTCCCCTCCCCTCCCTTCCCCCCTTCCCTCCCTTCCCTCCCTTCCCTCCTTTCCCCGCTCTCTGACAAAGTCATTAGCTATCAACACCTGAAGTCTGAGACAAGCCACGCGGTCCACTTCTCGCTGTTCGCAGCGAGGGAGACTTGGTCGGGCGTGTCCCAAAAAATGGCGCATGTCCATGACTCGTTCTGCGGGCAGTTCAGGTGGCACTGGGCATAGTAGGCCAGCTGCCCTGAATACACAGCCTTGTAGCAAGAGACACCTGAGCTGTTTTCACAACCTTACCTGCGCAGCCCCACATCCCAATCCACGACTGACATTGCATGTATTGCATGAGGCTGGGCTTGGGACTTTCCCCAATGATAGTGCTGTACGAATATCAGAATTTTGACGAGACACCTGTTGTTGACGAATTGCAACCGCCGAGGGGATGCACGCACTTAGTGCAGTTGGAGACCAGGTCATCCATCAGAGCGGAGGAGACCGCGTCCGCATCACTCACATCTGCCAGCGTGAGATTGCCTTTGAAACCAGGTTCGGATGGGAACGAGGCACCACATACTGAACTCATTCCAGAATAGCATCCCAGGAAGGGATGTATAGGCTTCTTTCTACACAACACTCCCTGTGTTCCATAGTTTTGCGCACCCTGTACAAGCGCATGAGTCACGTGATTGTGCTAGACCTTCTGCCTCTTTCATCCCATGACCAACCTCTTACAAGAACAACGCTTGATCGCTCCAGAGCTTGTCAGGGCTTCAATAGAGCTTCCAGGTACCCGTCTTGGTCTCGTGCCACAAGAAGCAGGTATCTGGTGTTCCTGCATCCGTAGCATTTGGGAAACCCATGCCATTTGCATCTGCTTCGCACGCCTTAGCTACGGTAGAACGGTAGGACCCTAACAAGCTCAAAACATCTTTAAGCAGATTCTCGAACCCTCCTGGAGCGGAGCCTACGTGCAATTGCGGGATCCGCAATGTGCACATGACCAATGAATCCATGATCACTGATCGGGATAGAAACAACCCAAAACAAAAAGGAATTCCACGGCCAGCTCTGAAGCCTGTGCGCCAAGCACAGGTGATGGGCACTCCTGAGTCCATCTGAGAAGCATCAACTTCACTGAGTGGACGCGACAGTTGTGTCATCGTGTCATCGCGGCTTCTCTATACCGTTGCCACCCTCACAGTCACGGCTTCCCTGCTGAGATGTTGAACTCATGACAACTTGCATCCTGAAGCAAGACGTGCCATTGGTTGAAGGCCCCGCGCCTGGATCGTCGAAGCTTCCTCTTTGTGGTTGAGCTTGGCACGATGGAAGGCCTTCCTGGGTCTGAGATATTGAAACTCGAAGTTCTGAACATGCAATAGAAACCCGAAGACGCTTGTTGCGCAAGTTTGGAGCATGCTCAGTCGTTTTGAAGATACACACGTAGCCGCAGTGAACAACTGAATCCTTACCTGGGCTTGGGATTTAGAAGTGATTTAGTTCATTGTGAAACTTGCATGGTGCGACCGAGTCTCTGCACAAGCCCCGACGAACTGCAGCTGGATGACTGCTCCCCGGTGGCCCAAACAAAAGAGGCACCGGCCACGAGGATCAACGCTTGGGTAAAGTGGGCCATGACCATGGCTCAAAACCTGAGTTCTTCAGATCTGGGAGCCCCTTAACTTTTACAAGGAATGACCACGGCTCAAAGCTGTGCTTGGGGAAGGGTTATTTTCCTTTGCGATACCTAAGCTGGGCCCGTAGAGGTCCTACAGCCCCATAACATTCAATGGAGGAAGGGAATCCTTGGGACTGCATGAAGGGTTACAAGCTAAGAACCATCCCTCTTTGTTCGCTTGTCGGGTTGGTTCTCATAACTCATACTAGCAACAAAGTGCAAAAGATGCCAAAGCAGCGCCCAGAAACAGAAGGTACAAACGAGTAGTGTAAGGTGAACCGTAGGATGTGTAGAGCTTGGAGCATTGCGGTGACCAACAGCAAACATTGCAACTGAATGATCACCTCCACGACGACTATCTCTGAAGAGAGGCCAGCAAAACTTGAAGTATCGGATGACTGGGACATGGGGGATGACTAAATCTTACCACATCTGCAAGCATAGGTTGTCTAGTTTTGCATCAAGTACAAATACATTCGCAAGGTCCATAGTAAGATTTGGGGTCAGGGTGTCAGGATTGCAGCTTTCGGCATGCCGCTGCTCTGCGCATGAGGAGCAGAGGCACAGTTCAATGACCACCTTGTCCGGCATGCGTTCACTCAGTAAGTCTCCGGGCACCCTGCAGTGAAGAGGTCGCGATTGCAAAATCAAATGCGACCATAGCCAGCGCTGCCAGTTGAGCCCAGGTCTTCGCAATGTGTTGCAACTCCTCCGCTTGGCCCTTACCACGCAGAAGTCACGGGGAGTTCCTTGTGGATCGGACCCAGAGAACAAAACAATCATCGAAGCCACGACAAGTACTTAAAACATGTGACCGCAACTGGGAGATGCCAAAGTGAAGGTGCCTGGCGCCCACAAATCAAGCACTGCAGTGAGTGCACTAATTACCAGAAAGCATGTTTAACAGTGCCTTCTGCAAAAGTTCCCTAGACAAGTCGTAGGCACTTAGTTCGTGCCGTAGCGCATGCTACAAAACAGGAATCGCCTTCTCGTTTGGATGGCTCATCCGAGTGCATTCACATTCTCACATTCTCACACCAGAGGGACTGTCGAACC